CAAATGTAATTTCTGGGGTGCAGGTTTAGAACGTGGGTACATAGTTTCCCTAGGGACAACACAACTTATCACAGTATTAGAGAAGCAAGCGTATAGTGGAAAGAGAGATGGAAGGCAGGGATTTTACTTCTAGCTCTACCACTACTAGCAAAGAAAACAGGAAAACTTGATAGAAGCAAAAAATTTCACCTCTTTGGGACTCAGTTACCTCATCTATGAAAGGAGAGAGCAGGGCGAGATGATCTCAAAGGTTCCTTTTAAAAAGCTCTGGTCTTTCAATGGGAACTTTTAGCCCAGTGTAGATAGTGTCAACAACCCCAGACATGGATATGGTAAAGTTAATTGTTAATAAATAAAGCTACCGGTTAAAAAGTTAAAGAAGAAAATGTGACTCTATACAACTATTTTCACTGAAAGACATCAAATACTTGGACAATATTACTCTGCTACATTTCAAGAATAAATTAAAAAGACAATTCTAAGTTTTAAAACTTTATTTTAAATCTAAGATATATGAATCTTTTCAATTGAAATTAAGCATTCTTCTAAAATTTCCTTTTACATGGGCATAACACAGTCAGGAAATTCCCATCCCCTTCAACTCAGTCCCCCCAACACTGCATTCTAAAATTCCCCACCCTTTCCATGATACTCGCTGGAATACACAGGTAAATCTTTTCCTTTCCCACTTCTTTTCACCTTCTGGCTTCGAGACCTGGATTCCTTCACATCTGAACCTTCCTGATCACCCTTTCCAGCATTGGTTGAAATCATCATTCATTCCCCACCTCCCACCCAACATTTACTGGTCACGGTGGGGGACTGGAGTACTTCTTGTTCCCCATTTTCACTTGCAGGCTCTCTTTTTCTATAAACATTACTCAGTAATCTTTCCTTTTTTGAAGTTCACTCAAACCATATCTACTGCCCAATCAAAATTTTGGTAGCTATTTTCTATCAATCTTCAGGAAATTCTCCTTTTCTCCTCAATGAGTTTGGTGCCTGGTTCACAATTTTGTGCCCAACTTTCTGACCCAACTCCTGCCTTCATACTAGGGAACTTCACCATACATACTGATAGTCCCAGGCACAGCTAGGTGGCATAGTGGATAGAGCTCTGCCTTGGAGTCAGGAGGATCTGAGTTCAAATCCACTATCAGACACTTGACACAGACACTAGCTATGTGACCCTGGCCAAGTCACTTAATCCTGACTGCCTCACCAAAAAACACAAAAAATGAAGGAAAAAAATATCGCTCATACTGATAGTCCCTCAAGCAGCCTTACCTCCCAGTTCTTCAACTTGCTCATTTACCATGACCACTCCTTCATACCAACTCAGCTACACAGTCACACTCTTAATCTTTCCATTACTGACTAATGCATCAGTTTATGAACTATTACAATCTATTGCCATTCTGTGTCTCCTATCTTGCAACCCCAAACCTTGCTCTTCCTAACCTTGACTTCCAATCCCTTGACTCCTAAGTTTTTTCCCAGGTCATCATGCCTACAATGCCTACACTCATACTCCCTTTTCCATCTTGACCTTAAAAGTGAACCAGTTCAACCCTACAATGTCTGCTTCTCTTGAATCCTTTTCTCCATTACCTTATCACTGACCTTGAACTCTAAACCTCAGCTACAGATTACTATCACCATCTAATGGCTTGCTGCTAAACAAAACTGGAGAAATTCATGAAACCATACTGAATAGGTGTGTTACAAATTTATGTTACATAATTTCAACTAGGTCATTATTGCAGTAAGATAATCCTTTTACACTTCCTTAATTAACTCATATCCCAATCGTCAAAGCAAGCTCTTCAAAACCTTTTCAACATACCTCATATCTCCCTTACCATGTTTCCCCCCCAGCCTCTCAGCTAAGAACTTTGCCTCATATTTCACTGAAAAAAATGAGGCCATTAGCTAAGAATTAAACAGGGAGAGACTGAAGATAAGTGAGGGAATGGGGATGATAAAGAGGGCAATCACCTAGAAAAGATAGGATGGCAACATGGGTTGGCAAGGAGAAAGAGCCACTTCATTATGTGAGATGGAGTGAAGACAGAGACAGTGGCAGGAAGCATATAGATGATATGAGATGAGGAGAGGAAAAGAGGAAGCTCTCAGTGAACGGTCTCAATTTTTTCAGTGAAATATGAGGCAAGCTTCTTTTTATTTGGGGGTAAATATAAGATTTTGAGTTTCAATTTTTTCTCCCTCCCTCCCATCCCCAAGATGACAAGCAATCTGATATAGGTTATACATATGCAATCATGTAAACATATTTCCACATTAGTCATATTGTGAAAAAAGAAAAAAAAGAACATAATGAAGGTCCAGCTGAAGTTAAGTAATGTGATTGAGGATGTCTGAAAATAATTTAAAATTCCCTTATTCATCCAATTTCTCCTCTTAATTTGCTTAATAAGTCCATTTCTTCTCCTTTAGTGCAGAAGTGAATTTACATTAAGTTCCATTAAAATTATTACAATTTTGAAATCTTTAAGGTCCAAATTACTGAAATTTCACCATAAAAGAGAAAATGTGCTCCAGAAATTATGTCTAGAGACCAAATATGATATGACAAACATTTAAGCTGTTGGTCAAACCCTAAAATATAGAAAACTGAAGTAATGCTATTGAAGTTTGGTATTAAATTGTTTTTAATTTTAAAAAAATGAATAGGTCAGTGAGATAGTTTTGTTGTGTACACTAATAAATTTTCATATAATGTCCATGCTTATGTTTACCAAAATTTTAATATAATTCTCATATTTGACTTTCCAAGTCCTTGTCCACATCGCCTCTCAAAGAATGTTTATTTTAATAGAGATGGGAAACTTAATATTATGTTCTATTTAGTGCCCAGCATATTACGCCTATGCAATAAAAACTGATTAATACTTCCTTTAGAATATACCTGATATCAGATCTTGGTCTAGAAATAGCTACAGAGATCTCATCCTTACCTTTACCTTCTGCCATTATCTTGTAACCACTTTATCATAACAAACTCTCAAGTTCAAAAGGATTACATTTCAAAATGCTTTACTCAGTTATTTTGGTTTCACAAAGCAAGTTATACAGAAACTCTAAGTGAAGATCTTTTTTCTCTCTAGCATGCTCAGATTCTCATTTTCTCTCTCTCACTCTCTTGCCAAAGGCTGAGTCTCATCCACAAATTCACACATAAAACAAACAAAAATAATCAGTCACAGGAGTATTCCTTAGGTACTGAACACAACTTTGCAGCTAGCACTGAAACAAAGATGACAAACTTTTTTCTTGTCTAAGTGTGAAATGAATCTAGAAACTTCTGAATTTCTTCAGGTGGCGATAAATATATGAAATCAAGAGTATTGAATGAACAAGTAAAAAAGTGATATAAAAACTTAAGCACTAACATCACACAATCAAGTAAGATAACTAGAAGACAAAGATTGTATAAATATTTATACTCCAACCTAAAACATTAAATTTAAAAAAATAGAAAAATGTTTTCAATATATTAATTTTAGTATTTTAAAAATTTCTTTAAACTACATTAAGACTTTTTTTTTTAAGTGAGGCAGTTGGGGTTAAGTGACTTGCCCAAAGTCACACAGCTAGGAAGTATTATGTGTCTGAGGCTGGATTTGAACTCAGGTCCTCCTAACTCAAGGGCCAGTGCTCTATCTATTGCACCACCTAGCTGCCCCCTACATTAAGACTTTTGAAACAACCTCTACTTAACACCTACTATGTACCCAGCACTGTACTATATATTGGGTGTAGAAAATTACATGGTACTTGACCTCAAGATAATCTTATTGGTGATTCCATGGTCTGACCACTGATCTGTTTTCTAGCAAGTAATAACTGCAATGAGATATTTTTTCAAATCCAGATTTTTCTTGTAGCTATGCTGCTTCAATCAAAGTCAAATTAATCCTTCTCCTAACTATAGTATAATATTTACCAGTTTGAGGAAATAAAATAAATAAGACTTAATGGAGTAATTGGCTTTATTCTCTGTTCTAGGATCAACCCAAGCATGTAATTTTAACTTGCTAAGGTTACTGAAAGAAATCTAGAAAATTAGGATTTCATTTTCTATAGCAATTTCTATTTGCAAAACTCGAAATTTGTCACAGTGGATAGTGTTGGACTTAGAAACAAGAAGACTTGGGCACTGTGAAAAGAATACTGAACGTGCATTCTAAAGACCTGAGTTTGGATCCTGGTTCTGCCAGTGATTACCCATGTAACCCTGGGCAAGGCACTTTTATTCTCCAAGCCTCTGTTTTCTCGTCTTTAAAATTCAAAGGCTGGAGTAAATGTTAGGTCCCTTTTGGCTCTAAATCTGTGATCTCATATACACGCACGCACACCCACCCTCTCACCCAATGCACAATGCACATATACATGTGTGCATGCACAGACAGCCACACAGACACAGGCACACCCCCTTCTTCCTAAATCTTGCACAAACACTTGTTAGCATAAAGTATTCATCAGCTACAAGGAGGAACCACAGCCTGTAGTGACGTCTTCAGGTTAGAAAAACGACTGGTCAGAGCAAGCTGCCCCCTCTCAGTGACTCATGGTCACTTTCTGTTGAAACGGAGTTGCTTATAGAAGGAAGCCAAGTGAAAAGCTTGGTCCCCTTATTTCCCGGTGACAACCCACCAATATAAATGTAATGATGCCTATTGTAGAAAATGAGGTGGTTAGTATCCCATATTGTACAGTTTCCAGAAGTTTGGGATCAAAGTCAGTGCCCTTAAAGTTTCTTTTAGATTAGCCATGGAACCTTTCCAGTTAATGGGATTTCTGCCCTGTATTAAAAGAAGAGTTGATTTCAGAAAGAATCTCAACAGGTGTTTTAAATTTAAATTTCAAAATTCATGTTTTAGTTTCTTCTCCCTCCCTCTCACCCCATATTCAGTCACTTTCAGGATTTCATTTGACACCTGCTTGGTCAATCCTAGGGTCAGGCCCAGTCCGCTTACCTCTTTGTGGGAATCTTTATGTGCCTCCAGTGTTTTCATGATTGTCAGTTCAGCATAGTTTTTAAATCTTGCTGGTTGGTTTCTCAGAATTTCCCGTAACACTCGCAATGCCAATGCCCGTATCGAATGCTAACGTGCAAGTTGGAGAGAGGGGTGTTAAACTACAACTGGCACACAAAGCTTTATTAAATAACACCCCCACCCCACCCCATTGCTTCCACTTCCACTGACGTTTGACTCATTCAAGAGAAGAGGCAGTAAAAACTTAACATTTATAAAATGTGCTTGTATGTATAATCAATAAAAGACACAGAACAGATGAGGAACAAACTTTCAAGTCATTCACCTCTTGGAATATCTTCGATGTTATGGAGGAGGGCACTATGTTTTGCCTTAAAACAAACAAAAAAAAGCTATTTGTCATTTTGCATTAAGCTATTCTCCTTGAAATGCTTCTAGACTCAGGAAATACAGTCAGAGCCTAGTCTTACTTTCTGACCCTGTAAATGATGAGATCATTGGTGGAAAGACTTGTAAAGCTCCTTCAGTTTACTCCTGTCTTCCACTTCTGGATGGTAGCCATTCTAAACAGGACTCTTAATCTCAGTAAAAGAGGATGGAGTTTACACTAAATAGTATCTAAAAGGTACATCCTGATTCTTTGCCATTCATCTGTACAATTCACACACTAACACAACATTTATCTATCCTCCACATGACATCATTTTATCTTTGACTAAAAAAAGCATCCTAAGTCTAATGGCCACAGTAGATGGTATGCTGACTAAAGAAAAGTTTGCACATATCTTTTAATCATCTTTCTATCCCTGTATCCCTCTAAAGCAAATTAACAAAGCAGAATCAATGCACATTTCTAAGTATTTGATTACAACATAATCAAATGTTATTGTGGTCATAATGATATAAAACCAACTCTATGACCAACTGTCATTCATGTAATATCAGTTATTCTAAATTTTTATATCTTACCTTTATATTTAATTTTCTAGGAATTTTCCCTGTCTTGCCCCTTCCCTTTTCATTCATTTTTAATTCTTAGAGTCTATACAAACTCTACTGAGGGTAGATTTTTTTAACTTTTGGAATGGAATTCAGATAACTTTCAATATTCATTTACACCTCAAAAATGGGGCCAATTTCATAATATGGAGGAAGCTGGTATCCTAAGTCAAACTGATTGCTTAATTTTTAGATTTCTATAATTTGTAGGAATTAAACTGACAAAGGAATTGAAAAAGAACATAATTACATTAACATACCTAGGCATAAGAATGAGGGCATATGATGAAAGGCAACTCTCAGTATGGTCTGTTTTAAATGAAATATATTATATACTGTCTATGTGTCTTCTGTCATATAAAAGTAAAATGTTAACATAAAACTAAAAGGAAATAAAATTGACCTGAATTTGATCTATCCTATGTACAGAGTTTAAAAGAAGTCATTCCATTTTATGATAGAACTGCATGTTAAGTCAAATTTTCATCAACTATGTACTGTACTGTGGAACCAATCTCTTTATGACACAGGTCTCATAAAGTAAAAATATCACCCCTACAACTTCTTACAGTAAAAATCTGCTACAATAAAGCACAGGAAGTAGGTTTAGTTCTGTCCTGAAATTAACATTCATTAAAAAAGGTTTCCATCAAAAAATTAAAAGTGTACACGAAGCACAAAAATAATTTAAGTGAAATACAAAGAAAACGAGACAATGGTCATGCTACCAAAAAATGAAAATTCAAGTCCAAAGCAAAATTTCTCACATCTTTATCTCCAAGTGTTTCCAGCAGCAAGAGCAAAATTGTTTTGAAGTGTTCTTCCCAAACTCCTAGGTTATCCTCTCGAGTGATCTTGAGTAATTCTAATAAGGCTCCTTTCCTTTCTTCCACCCGCTCATTGTGATTTGATAATTCTTTCAGGAGATCAGCTACCAAATCAGAATGGTCAATGGGTACTGTGGGAGAGAAATTGAAAACAAAAAGGGGCTATTCTACAGAGAAAAATCCAACCAGAGAATATTCTGCCTGCTGCCCTGGCCTATTTGAGGTCTGAACAAATAGGTAACTGATGTGGGCTGCCATCTTGAGTGGCTTTCAGTCACTCACCAAGATCCACAGCTTGCTCTGTAACATCTCTAAAATTCATCACAAAGACAGGGAAATAAATACTTATCACCTTCATGTTTCCCTAACACCAATTTTCTTCAGGAATGAATCTGACCGCAACTGAAGGAGTGTTCTAGGGTCTAGTAAAACTGGAGTAACCTTGAGGTTAATACTGGAAACTGTATTATTCCTTCCAATTGTGGGGGAAAGGCCTGGAGGTAGCAAATCAATATTTAAATAATCACTTTTCCTCCCCCACACACAGCCACAACTCTGATAAGTCACACAGGAACTTTACTCTGAAAGATTAAATGGGAGGAGTTGGAATTTGGGAACAATGTCAACTTTTAGCTTACTTACTGAACACTACTCTTCTCATGAAGATAGGGAACTTATCAGAGACCAAAACGCTGAAAGTTTAGTATGAATGAATAGGATGGTTCACCAGAGAAGCCCTGTTCTATGAGTGAATCACAAGTAGGTTTCAGATGAAAAATTAAATACCAGGGGCAGCTAGCTCCAAAGGCATATTTCTTTAACTCCTGTTATTGGAATATAGCTGTGTACATAAATTTTTAGAAAGTAAATCACCTGTACTTTTTCTTTCCTAGCATCTCACCCTTCTTTCCAAGAAAAACTTGTGGAACAAAATTAAGATAGGGCTTATTCCAAAGGATAAATTTCAGCAGCTAGCACCATGCCTAATGGCCTGAACAATCAGAGGTGACCAATGATGGTCGCCATTTTGAGTGGTCTTGATTCATTGATCAAGTTCTGTATTGACAAAAAAAATAATCAACATTTTTCTATCCAACATTTTCCATATTACTCACCAAAGGAAAGTGGCTATATGTAGGGTGACATTTTGGCTAATGACACACATCAAATCATTCAGCTGATAAACAGGTCATAGCCCATCTCTTCTCACTACAAAAGACTTTCTTAATAATCAAATGAGATAATATATGTAAACCACTTTGCAAACCTTAAATGTTAGCTATTATTATCACGATAACAATGACAAAAAGCTTAATAAAATTATATCAAAGTATGCACTGAAAGTTACCTATGGCAATAAGATAGGTTTGACCTATACTCTAAAAAATAATTGAAAAGAAGCCTTCCCACTTTATAATATCATTAGAGAATTGTCTCGGGAAATGATAGGTTAAGTGACTAGCTTGGGGTCACAAGGCTAATATGTAATCAGGTGGGATTTGAACCCAGATTTTTTTGACTCTGAGGCCGACTCTTTCAGTGGACACAGTACCTCTCAGACTGTAAGTGCCAAAGCAGGTGTTGACTGCGTTTGTTGAGCGAATTTCTTTCCTAGAAGTTCCCAATGCCAATGAAATCACAAGTCCAGTTTCCTCAAAATACTGATCCTAAAGTTTATTAAACAGTTCACTGATTTAATTGTTTGGTTTTTGGGGGGTTTTTTTGAGGGGGGGGTGGTCTTAGACTTAAAGACTTTTGTCTTAAAAAAAAAAGCTTTGGGTAGAAAACAGTAAATACGATTGTATTTTCATCACTGTCAACAGTCAATAAACCTAACTCAGCTAGCATTTATTAAGCATCCACTATATTCAAGGCATTATCAACACATCAAACTCCCTCAATGACCTAATCAACCATCAGGTGAAGGAATAAATAATAAGGTTTCATGCAGGAATATTGCCACAGAATAGTATACTAATGTCTTGAGCTCTGATGGACATTTGACACAAGATAAAATGAGGCTTCTATAGAATACTATTTGTAATAGTATGTAAGGTAGAAATCATACTATACAAGGGCCTTATAAATGGAAGAAAGAAAACACCCTCATTAAAACACTGTTGTAATACCATAGTAGGGTAGGTTAGTAAATAGTGTTTTAGGAATGCTATCCCTAGTTGCTTGCTAAACTGAGAAAGTTCAAGTGTCATATAAAGGAATGAAAAGATGAATCTGGAGCATAAGAGCTAAAATTCTACCCAGAATGTGAAACCTCTATTTGATCAGTATACCCAGAGCTTGGTCCACAGAAGATAAAGCAAAGAAAAGCTGTTTGATGAGAATGGGATAAAATTCAAGAAGGAAACTAACCATCACGAAGTTGATCCATGTCATCATCAAATACAGCTTCTTTCAGAGCTGTCTTGTCATAGGTGTTGATTGTATCCGAGTAAGGATAGGGACTGTAATCTCGAGCTCGGGGCCCTGTGAAGGCTCGTGGAGGCTGGGTGTTGAGGAGTGAGGTTTTGTTATCAAGAGCTGTCCTTCCTCCTTCTACCACATCACTTCCTCCTCGCAGATCAGTGGCAGGCGAAGCTATCCCACCATCTCGTGAAACCTGAAACAATTAGGAGATAGCATCCCATCCCCTTCGATCAATAAAACTTTAAGATTTCTTTTTCTTTCCCTGGTTTTTCTTAAGGAAATAGCAAAGGCCCAAGACTACTCACTAAGACTTTGATTATAGGGGCCCAAGGAGAAGAACATGAATTTATCAGTATTGATGATAAAAGTGGATGATAAGCTTTTTATCTATTTTAATATCTAATTAAAATATAACAATAAACAGGACCAAAATGTGTTTCTACTAAAACATATACTTATCCACATGCTTATGAAATAGGCTTTACTCATGGTGAATAGTAATTTCTCTTTGTTGAAAAAAAAATTGGTTTTGAAAGATAGTCTTTGTCAAGGAGACTGGTCACTACTGAAATATATATTGTGGAATTCTGTGTTACAATATGGTAGGATACATGGAGGAAATTAGAACTTTCTATGTTTGAGTGAGAGAACACTATCAGAAAGATACACTGAATTAGTGGCTGAAACTTTCAGACTGAATGAATTCACAGCATTACAGATTTAGAACTGGACATGACCTGAGAGATCACCTAGTCCAACCATCTTCAGGTAAAGGAACTGAGGCCAAGAGAGGTCAAGTGTCTTGACCAAGGTGACATAGGTGGCAGACCTGGGATCTGAACCAGGGTTCTCTGATTCCAAACCTACCACTCTCCCAATCTTGAACTACATTCTTTACTGTCACTGTGAGGAAACAAACAAATGAATGAATGAATAAATGAAATTCTGCATTCAGCAAGTCGTCATTAAGGTGGTGGTGAAGGATGACTGCTTATTTTATATGGCTTTGAAAAATATGTCGAACTGAGATCCTTTAACGAAAAGTACTCCAACTATCTAGAACAGGACAGTATAAAAGTGTTGAGGATAGCAGTCCACACTCAAAAATACAGATGGATAGATCTTTTGAAATAATAAACTGGGAATACTTACAATATCACAGTCTTTTTTGCCATCCCGCTTAATAGGCTCATTCAGATCCTCCTGGCTCCGGAAACTAAACTTTTCTATGGCTTCTGTTACTCCCCGCAGAGAACTGTAGATCTCATCTGAGTTCAAATTCTCTGTGTCATAGTCGAGCATGCTAAAGATTAAAGGCATGACAGATTTTAAAATAGGGCATGGGCATTAAGGTTTGACTTTGAATTGGTAGTGCCATCAATTTATAGAGTGGGGTACACATTTAGAATTTTGTTTCTAAGAATGACTTGCAATGAAATAAGAGTATCTTGGCAGATATCTTTTTAAAGACCCCACTAATTGGAAACTACTTTTTTTTCTCTCAGAAAATATCCTTTCAATAAATAATTTGAACCCATAAACATAAGCACTCTAATAATCAGTGAGAAACATCAATAACTATATGAATGCAAGAACTCAAAATAGTGACAACTGGTGACTTAATGTACAGAGTTAATGAAAGTGAAAAGTTTGCTTTCATACCTCAAAAAGGTGAAAAAAAACTTTTTTGGTGTTACTGGTCTCAAATGTACAAACTTAAATCAAGAAGAATGGTCACCTCAAAATAAAGCTACTTTTCTCATAAATTACATAGTAGCAATATAGAAAACAATAAGACTGGATTAGAAAAAGTGAAAAGTATCTTCCCTAGTAGCAGAAAATCTTATAATTTAAAATTTGATGAGTCATAGTCAGATCTACCTTAACAATCAAGAAACTTAACTCTTATTCCTACCTGAACTTAACTGAGAACTTTCAGGCTATTCTGAAAGGTTTTAGGGTTAGTTTGCAGCCTTAAAGAGATGTAGATGCACAATGGGTAAAGCTTTCAGGCAAAGATGCTACAGAAAAGAACTAGAAGGAAATCTGAGAGACTTGATTAGTCTAACCCCACCTTCCCCAACAAACAAAAAATATAAGCAAGTGGCATCAAAGCAGGGGAAATTAACTCAAAGTTTTAAATCTTCTTGGACTCCTCAAAGTACTTCAAAACATAAATAATTTCTTACACACCAAGTGTCTTCTTTACAGACTTTTTTTTTTGAAGCAAACTACAAAAGACAGAGAAAAGGAAAGGTAGGGCTTTTGGTCTTCTCAAAGTATGGCCTAATGGCCTAACAATTTATGAAAAGAAGACAAAAGATTCCAAGAGAATTCCAAAGGAAGAATCACTTTCCTAACACAGAACATCAAACCTAATGGACAGATAGATCAGCTAGGAAAAAATGAAACAAAACCAAGCCATCAAGTGTGCCTTAGAAGACATCAGGAATACTCCAGGAATTAAACTTCATGAATTTTAGGAAAACATTGAAAAAGGAACAGATGCCAGCCTCTTGAGCATTAAAACTTGCAAAAAGATCATCTGATAAGCATGGAAGAGGTCAGGGTATGCCTACAATATACTTTATTATATGCCAGTAAGTATTAATGTTATTAAAGATCAGAGCAAAGCTATACCTGAATTTTGCAAAGGCCATCTGAAATGTATGGTAAGAAAATGAGCAAGTGAAAAAATACTGTATTTGTGCTGCAATGTTTTAATAAAAATCAGATTCCTTGAAGACCACAGTCAACTCTGCCCAGTCCCTGAAAGGGAAATGATCTATATAACTCTGAAAGGATTTTGCTATTTTTTTTAATGCTCTCCTAACTATTTTTAGAGTTTGCAAAGAGTGCCAAAGCAGAATATGGATACGCTCCACATTCCAGGATTCCAAGCACACCTGTTTACAGATAAGGTTCTGTGAGAATCTGGTTCTTATTCAGAGATGAGGGTACACATTCAGAGGTGGCTGAAAATAGAATAATTTACCCTAAGATCACAAAAATGGTGGCAGAACAGTTGATGAAAAAGTCTAAATGTCCTCTGGTCAGAGCAGTTATTAATCATTTTTCTTCCATAGAGAAGAAGAAAACACAGGACAAATTGTCTGGAGAGCTCACAAAAACTGCCAACTTAGATACTCAGTCAAAAGGTTGGCTGTGACATCAAACAAAAAGAAACATGTGTATTTGAACATGTTTGCAGCTGAAATCTGATGCAAGCAATGACAGGAGGTAGAACACAGAACCTGAAAGAAGTTCAAGATTTCAGCACCTTCTGAGTTCACAAGGCTACCTTGCTATGCAGCAATTTGAAAGATAGAGGTTTTCAGAAGATGTGTAAGAGAAAAACATAGGGGTTTTTTTTTTCCTTCTAAAAACTGTTCACTTACTTAAGAAAAGCATTTATACATCTGGCCAGTACATTTGTGTTTATGTTTAAAGACTAGATGATAAACAAAAATATACACAAGATGGGAAAAAAAATGCCTTAAAAGACTGCTAATCACAACAACCAAAAAATAATATAGTGGCCCATGCATAAAACAGTGACAGGATGAACAAGAGGAGGTTGTAGAGATATTCAGCTTTAAAAGGATGTCACAATATTATTTTTCATATGTTGCTTCAAAAATACACTAAGCCTTTTGACAATTCAATTATTTTGAAATAGTCTATTTCAGATTGCACAGCATATACTACAATTGGCATTAGAGTTTCTAAAACAGAAAAACCTACTGAAGTAATTCTGCTGTTTGGGGATTTCTTGTTCTTATTTTTATTAATTAATCAATTAAGTATTTTAATTTAGAGCATTCTGCACACAATAAAGAAAATTTTATGGCAGTAATGTTTAAACAAAACCCATGCTTTGCAATAGTTTTAAGATTCTCAGATACCAGTGATATGAGGGTTGTTTTTTTTTTTAATACAAATTAACAAATTTTTAAAGGTTTACTTATCAATGTCAGCAGGCAATGTGCTTTAATTGCTATTTCTATACCTCTTGGCTTGGCTCTTCATTTGCTTGTCAAACTTTTAAAGAATCTATGAAATTACATAAATTATAATATTACCATATAGATGATATGGGCCTCTGTAATGTTAAATAAGGGACAGGAAGGACAACTGAAGATCATCAACTTAGAGCTGGAAGGGACCTTAGAAGCCATAGAATCCAATCTCTTTATTTTGGGGATGGGGAAATTCTGAAGTGCAGAGAGGTGAAGTGACTTGCCCAAAATCACATGGCTATTTAGTGTCTGAGGAAGGATTTGAACCCATGTCTTTCTGACTTTAAGTCTACTATACCATCTAGTTGCCTGTACTGAGTTAAAATAGCTATGTGTCCCACTCTACCATCCCCTGTATCTTTTGGACTATTCAATTTCAGTCTGATTCTGGGGTTTCATACAACCCAACAGGTTAATATTTGCATAATGGGAATAATGATTTGCGACCATTTCATTTAATTCAGAATATGTGCTTCATATTAATATATTTTTGTAAAAACTTACAGTTTACCAAGGGCTTTCCTCAAAAAAAAACCTTATGATATGGGTACTGCAAGAATTATTACTTACAAGTGGCCAGACCAGGGGTAAGCATCTTTACCAATAAAAATACATAGATATTACATTTAATACTGAATTAGGCTTACTGAGTGAATGCTCATCAAGTAAACTGAGCATTGAGACTATGCCTACACAAAGACATAGTGCCCCATTTTCACAAAATTTTGGGTGTGGAGACTTGGGAGCAGAAGAAAACGATGACTTCAGGGAGTCCAAATTCAGAAACTGGTAGCATGGGGCACAAACTACCAGTTTCCCCTACTTCATGGATAAAGACAATGATAAGATAAGATGTCAAGCCATTCGCAATTTGAAATGCTCCTACTTAGGCTATTCTAATAAATAGAACACATTATTCTATAAAAATAGCATTAACAAGTAGGAAATCAAATTTTAAAATTCAGAAGCAGGACTTTGACCTTAAAAGGGTATAGAGACAAACTGTTTGCAAACAGAACAATTGGGTCTGGTTTGCCCATTTATCCTAATTTTTTGACATTGCTATACTTAGACACAGGATCATAGGAGTTAGAGCTAGAAAGGGCTGTAGAGGTCCTCTAAGTTCAATCAGATAAGGAAACTAAGGCTTAGAGGAGAAGAAATTAATTGCCTAAGGTCATACCGTCTACTAAGTAGCAAAGTAGGTATTTAAATTTAGGTTAGATCCTAGATCCAGTGCTAATGAGGTTGTGTGTAAAATTTAAATCACTTCAAAACTTTGTTGGGTAGTCCAAAAGACAAGTGCTATTAAAGTACATGTGTTGTCTGTGTTTGTACACAGGCTCATACACACACATAGCTGATACTCGAGTAATGTATGGTCTGTCTATTTTGTGGATAGATAATCAAGATGGTGCCACTGCCTAAGGTGCATTTCAAAATCAAACACTGGCTAAATGATGGTTAGTTGGATTACCTGGAGGAATTTTGAATCATTATGTTACTACTCCTCTCTCTGGGTATGAGTAAGAGATGCCTGTAAATGGATTCTCAATTCTGCATGTCTCTATCAGACTCTGTCAAAATAAAAGAATCTTGTGATGCTTCACGTATTCTGCTCCTATGTAGCACAGCACATTTCTGGCCCACATTTCTTTACTCTCAACAAAGGAAAATTCCAACTAGTATACATGGTATCAATTTTCCAACAAGTGCATGGGTCTACTGAGGTTACTGGCAGTTTTTTACACTGGGAAACAAGACCTCTGGTACAATTCGATGAATTATAAATTGTTCTCGGATTTTCCTTATATTTGTAGAATCTATCAATCTAATGTGATGGGGAACACTGGCATATAATGAAATGATAATCCATATAATCATTAGTTAATTATTACTGGTGTCTCTGCATAGGTCAAATAGAAGTAATGACACTTATGTTTAATTTCTAAAGGAGAATATCATATTCATTTTTGAGGGGGTAAATCCCTGTACTTATAGAAAAAGAACTAAGGAAACATGACACATAAATCTTCTGTCAGTCAACAAGCTTGAGTACTTTCAGGTCAAGTACTCATTAGGGTATTTTGGATAAAGTGTGCAAATGCAAGAGTAAAAAATGGCTTCAAGATTTCCAGCTAACAAAATGGCAAGGCATTCCACTGATAACAGTGCTAGCTCTCCACACACCTTTTCCACTCCAGCCATCAGATGTGGAGGCAGGGGCCCCCTTTGAAGCACTTGATCAACTTTCATAGAAAGAAATAAGATGACTTTAGAAATGCAATAATATTGTGACACCACAGACAAGTTTTACAGGTAGCTTGTTACCTGGGAGAGTAAGAGCGCCTGAAAGTCTTGTGGGAAGGAGCTGTGGGGATGGAGTTAGGCTGAGAAAGGGGAGGTGGGTGCTTCGACAGCCCATCGGCACTCCAACCCCAGAACCGACTGCAGTGGTCAGAAGAGGAAAATCAGAGAGAAAAAACAGAGAAACAGAACAGGGATAGGAAGGGGAGGGGGAAAAGAAACTATAATCTGAGTGGTTTCAAGTTTCGTGCTTCCTGGATAAAGTTATATAAAAATTAATCAAAACAAAATTAGACAGGCTACTTCATGGAGTATCTTATAATACCATAAAGAGATCAAACACAAATTCCCCTTTTCAGTCCATCCCTGAAACAAACATTATTCTTTCCCATCCCACCCATGGGTATATATCTCTTATGTTAGTTTTTGTAAATTATGAGAGATCCCAATTATGCAGGTAGATGCTTGAGAAATTGTCAAATAAATATTAAAATTTATAAACAATGCATCAATTACTCTAAGGAAGAAGCAAAAAAAAATATGAAGAGGATTTAATTTGCACTTGTTAAAAATAGGTGGGTTTCCTCTAAATCTTATAAAAGTGAAGTCTATACACCAGCACCCAAGTATAACAGAAGCTGACTTTTGAGATGGTAAGAGTCTGGGATCAAATGAGGCCTATTCCACAGATTCTCAGCTTTGGATTTTCTATGAAAAGGCATGAGTAATACTATAATCTTATGGTCCTATGAAACTAACCCTTGGTTAGCTATGGAGGAATTAGGGAAAAACAGAAACACAGCTTCTTAGCCCTAAACAACTCAAAACTGGAAACAAAATTGATAGAGTACAGAGAGTCTCTAGGAGTGCAGACAAATGTTCATCCATAAGATACAAATTCAATGGGGGCTGAATCTGGGAGTAATCCTGGGTTGTCTTTTCTGATGATTAATGAGAAATCACAGGATCATAGATTTAGAAGGAAACCTAGAGGCCATCAAAGCCAATATCCTCATTTTACAGATGAGGAAATGGCGGCACAGCAAGCTAACTGATTTGCTCAGCGTCACAGAATTAGTATTTGAAGTGAGATTTGAACCAGGTCTCTCTGACTCCAAGTCTAGTGCCCTAACCACTAATATCACATTGTCTTTGAATGTGCTCTAGTAGGTGAGAAAGGGGCCATGGGAAGTTTAGAATATACTCATATCAAGAAGGGCAGACCTGTACACAAATTTATATGAAGGGAATCACCTTTGTTCCTAGAAGATCATGCTTCTTTCTGTGTTTGACGGCACAGCTATTAATTATGATCACAGAGGATGGTTTCTGTGTTTTCTAAAGTGAGATAACACAGTACAAGAAACCTAAGGGTCCTTTTTGAAGGCTGGGCAAGGAAAAGACTATATAGGAGTCACAGCTTCTAAGAGCTTCTTGTAACATCTTGGTAAGGTTATGCTTCATGCAATGCTGTTCATGGTCCTTATCTCTTTAGAATTATAAATAATTTCTTCACTTTAACAACTATGTATTAAAATGCTATCCAGGCTTAGCAAACTAGTCAAAGCAGGAAATTTCCCCAAAGATCTCTGAGTACAGAGTCTGAAATTAGCAGAATACTTGTATACAAATAAATTAAAAGGAATGAATGATAAAGTTGTTTTAAAATAATAGACCTTGAGGGGCAGCTAAGTGGCACAGTGGATAGAGCACCGGCCCTGGATTCAGGAGGACCTGAGTTCAAATTCGGCCTCAGACACATAACACTTACTAGCTGTGTGACTCTGGGCAAGTCACTTAACCCCATTGCCTAGTCAAAAAAACCCCAAACCAAAAAAAACCACCCCAAAACAAAAAATAATAGATCTTGGGAAAGAAACTTTTAAAAAAGAGGAATTGGCTACTAATCTTGTTGAAAATCATGTATGGAAGTAAAGTTCACCATGTCTGTGGGTACGACCAAAATTACATGGGACATAAACTTTCAGAAAGGACTAAATCAATATAATTATCAAATAGTCAGACATGTTCCCAGTGTATTCTTATCAGAAGCAAAGGACTCGATAAACAGTAATAAAAGAATCTTTGTTCCAAATATCCTATAATAAAAATAGTTTAATTAGGGGAAAGATACATATATTATATTTTTATTTATACTACACTGGCCAATGTTCCCTCTAGGATATGTTCACAGATAAATACGCATCTGTCTCAAGTCTTAGACCATGAAACCATAAGAAAGACCATACACATACTGTAATAAGGCTGTTTTAGTATTTTCAATAATTTAACTCCTCCTGCATAGTCTAACATTATTTATATCAAATTCTGTGTAGTATTGGTTCATTCTACAGAAGAACTCTTGCATTTTCTCAGTCTGGCTTCCTGGAGAGTCAAGAAAGACTCTCATTCACCAGTAGGTCCCTAATAGATTCAGGGTACCTGTCTAATTCCTACTTCAGCTTTACTTCCTGTGTTCCAAGGCTAGTTTTTTGCTGTTTGGAATGGGGGGGTTGAGAAAAGAAGGCAGAGACTGAAGGAAATTAGGTAACTTTTGTTTTAAACCAACAGTAAGTCCAAAGAATGAGCCCATGATATATCAAAGCCATTAGCCACCTACTCCTCCAAAGTTTAAGATGTAAAGGAGGCTGTTTATTACCTCTCAGTCCCTTTAGAGCTATTACAGAAGTACTTGTGTTAGTTCAACTACCCAGGTATATTTTCCCTTAGAAAAATCAACAATGCAGTTGATTATGTTTCATCTACTTGAATTCTGAGCAATGAATTAGGTGAACTAAAGGATTGAGAAGGTCCATATTACTATTTTCTCCAAAGAATGTTCCCTAAAAAATTCATCATATAGAAAGAAAACATTTGAAAACGTTCTTTTTTTTTTATGCTAGTCCATGAAGGAATGTTTCTTTCACAATGTTTCAAAGGATATTCTTACTCAGCAGGAAAATCTGCTGAAAAAAATTTTACTGTCCTAGAATTCTTTCAAAACTCAGAAAAAGAAAAGGATAATTTCTGAGGCATCACAGGCCCTCAAATATCCATGTATGAGGAGAGGGCTAAATCTATAGGCAAGTCCCACCTTTCACCACCTAACATTTCACTGAGCTCTTTGGATACCTTAATCATTTTGTTTCTGTGAATAGTCCCTGGAAACTCAGGCAATAATTCCTCTTACAATGTAGGAGCACCATCTAGTGGTAAAGAAGTAACTGCAGGCTATACAGCAAACAGGAGGAAATGTTCTAGCTCACTATGTCTTAAGGCTCCCAAAAGGATAGAGTGAAAAGTGGGCACTGCTTATGCAAACTCTTTTTCATGTTTCCAGCTAGTCTGGTGATAAGAGAATGGATTCCTGGATGATTTCTGAGATCTCTTAAAAATCTGTATTTCACAGAATCATAAAATCATATTAGATATGGTGAAATGTGAATCATTGTTAGAAAATTCTTGGTGAAATAACTATCCAAGTAGTGGTATTCTAAAATCCCACTAAGTGAGAGTTATTAATTATGATCTTAGAACTCTTCTCAACTTGGTTATTGAAAAGGCAAGGCAGAATTTCTGAACTACTAGAAAATTTAGGCCAATGTAACAGGTTTAACTTTATTTTGACTCTGAAAGATCTACTCAGTAAATAATAATATGCAATAATTAGAATAAAAGTTAAAAATTTATAAAAGATGACATGTTTAATAATGATCACTAAAATAATGTTGGCATTATGAAACGCACAGGAAAGAAAGCAAATCACAGTTAGAAGTCATATATCTCACATCTCATTTTTTTAGGATTCACAGAATCTTGAGTGGGAAATGAACCTTACTACTTAGAAACTACAATCTCTCAATCGCTGTAAAAAGAGCCCTTTTATGATATATATGTACATACATATGTGTACATATATATATACATATATATATATATATATATGATAGTTATCTAGACTCGTCCTTTAATGAAGAGGAGCTCCCTACCTTGTGTGATAATATGTCATAACTCCAGTTGTTAGAAAGTTGTTTCTCACATCGAACCAAAATCTGCTTCCCTACAACTTGGCTGCTCTTTAGGTCACATTTAAAAAAGACAAAGTTACAAATAAATTTCTTCTTAAAATGAGATACTGCAAAAAAGTTCTTTCGACATTAGTCCCTAATCTATCACTGACTGGGAACTTGACGTCGTCAGTGGAATTTCTTTGTGAGAACATTCACAAAGTACATTTGTTCTTGGCAGCATTTACAGAAGACTGGTATTTTAATCATTCTCTTTCTTGGGCTTTTGCCCCAAATACTGAAAGAAATGAACTGAAGTATTATTATTCTGGAACCATCAAGATTTAGCTAACAGGAAAAAAAAATGCATACAGGCAATTTCCAGCTTATGAGTTCAAGGCTGCTAAGCTCATACCACAATTTTTACCAGGTCTGAGCTCTGGCTTTTTTATTTCATTGTAGAACATCTGAAGAAAGTACTACTAGATAATGAAAAGGAATAAAAAATGGGTAGCCAGGAGGAGGAAATCAGAGAAGCAACAAAGAAGCCTAGATAACACCTGTAAACTGGATTACGAAGAGGTGGCAAACTGTAGGTGTAATGTTTGAGAAGCCACTTTCAGACAGGGCTTTTACAACTACCTAACTGAGAAGAATAGTAACAGTTCTGTTTCTGCTACAAAAGATGATGAGTTAAATCTTACGGATGTTAGCATATGAAAGTGTTGGCTGAGCCTGTGTCAGGCTTATGGCAAATTCTGACACTTTCATTTGTTTTGGTTATAATAGTTTAAGTCACTAACGTAAAGGCAGAATGAATTTTGGGAAAACAACTTCTAACTTTATTAAATCTATTTAAGGGGCATTGTTTCTGATTAAAAGAATCACTGCAAAAAATCTGTGTATAAGATTTCAGAATCACTTGAGAGTAAAATAAAATTTTTGGTCCAGAATGTTAATAGGAGAGTCTAGTGATCCAAAGAGACCTGAGTGACAATAACAGCTTTAGAAGCATATTACTCTTTCAATAATTAAAAAAAATGCAATTTAGGCCATCACTATTGAACAATGTATAAAATCAGAAAAATGGCTGCCTTCTTTTAAAACAAATTTTAAAGTCAAAACTGACAATAAGCCCTCTCATTTCTCCTCTCAAAATACAGCTTTTTTGACTATTTCTTGTGGAGATCCCAGTTCCTGCAAACCCATGCAGAATGTGCAGCCCTGGTAAATTCATATCTAGGTTGCTTCATAAAAGATCTTATTGGCACAGCAACAGATCTCATACATAAATCAGTATGCTTGAATTAATCATAATTTGTTTCTTGGCTAATTATTGCTTTCTATAAGCTCTCCCAGGGAAAATTATTCCTTCAATTTTCCTTCTCAAATTTATTTTGGAAAGGACCCTAGAAAACAAGTATATAGGGACCATAACAACAGGATCACAGATCTAAAGGTGGAAGACACTTTAGAGGTAATCAAGTCCTATAGGCTCATTTTGTAGCTGAGGAATCTGAAGCCCAGAGAGATGAAATGATTTGCTAGGGTCACAGTGCTCATTATGTAGCTACAGAAGCATATGAGGCTAGATCTTCCTACCTCCTGGTTTAGTGCTTTATTTGCTACTTGAAGGTACCTCTCTTCTCTCCCTGATAGAGAAAATAACTTCCAAAGATACAGGGGCATATTATTTTCTTGTTATCCAAGGATTCTGAATTCATAAGGCTAACATGGTATTTAAGTCAAGTTTGGTATTTTATGATACTAAAAGATTGCTGACAAACAGCACACAAAACAGTTTCCTTTCTAATAAAATGAAAATATAAACAATTCCAGTTATCTCGGGTTTCAAATTATGGCTGTGATGAATAGCTTCTTGCTTCATGAGCAGGCTTGAATTCACTTTTTTTTTTAAGAAAAGGCCTTCTTTTTAAAAAGACCCTTTACATTTCAGTGGTTGACCTTGGAACAGCAATTTGATCAGAAAATAAATGACTTGTGCTTGGGCTACAGAGTCTGTGAAAAGCTGACAAATAAAACCTTAAATAGCATATAATCTAAGTAGGAGTATGACAAATCTATGCATAAAACTCTTGTGGAAAAAATCCAAGGCTCTTAGCTTGATTTATAAATTTCCATGGAATTTTAGAGTTGGAGACGTTAATGCTCAGAGTACAACCCCCTTAATTTTACAAATAAACAAAGTGGGGCCCAGAGAAGAAGAGAATTGTTCAAGTATACACAGTGACAGGTGGTTACCAGGTCTAGAACCCAAGACGCCCGATTCCCAGTTCAGTTTTCTTTCTACTCTAACAAACTCTAAAACTGAATAGCAAGCTGAGTGGTTACTGGGATAGTTTAGTGAAAATCTTATTACCTTGGCGACAGACCACCATGGGAACAATTGGTAGGTGAAGTCAAGGGACTGGTCCTGCTACTGGTGTGTCTTGAAGGAGTTCGACCAATGGTATTGCTTGGAGAGCCCTGAAGTAAAGAGAAAAAGAAAGATCAGACAAAGATGGCGAGTACCACATAACAAACAATCTTGCCTTAAGTCTTTCCTCCCATGTTTGAAACCACGAGCAATATCGATTTAAGCACTGCTATCACTGAACAAGAGTAAGGCTAATATAATAATGCACATAATTTATATTTTTTTCTGCAACCAAATAGTCCCATTATTTTCCAGTCTAGAAACACCTGATGACTATTAAGGGTAAATATGTTAAAGAAGCCAGTTAACATTTGTAACTTTGTAGCATTCATCAAAATGAATGCCTGAATTAAACATATTAAAAATTCAGCCTACTGTGCAAATTTACTCTTAAAAAGAATGAAGTTATAGTTACACATTAGACTGCTCAACATGGCTTCACTTTGTCCTTTGTAAAGAACACCTGCCTAGTCATAGAACTTCAATTAAATTACACTTCTTCATTGCCTTGGTTATCTACTAAGTCCGATGTTATCTCCAATTTATCCTGTCTATATCTTGTTTGCACATAGTTGTTTGTGTGTTGTCTGCCCCAATACAGCGTGAGCTCCCTGAAAGCTGGGACGTACATCTATCCATCCGTTTGCCCTTCCCTCCATCCCTTACTTCCTCTTCTTCCCTTCCTTTGTATACTCAGTGCTTAGCACAGTTCCTGGTTCATAGTAAGCGCTTAATAAAAATTTGCTGAATGACTTTATCCTTCATTCACACTGGATAGAGGGCTGGGCATGGAGTCAGGAAGACCTAGGCTCAAAAACTGCCCCTGATATTTACTACTGGGGTGTTCTGGTAAATGTTTAACAACTGGTTCTCTCAAAACAGCAGACACACTTCTAAGTTTCATCTGTATTATTAACATTTTCTCCATCACTTTATTAAGTCTAGATCAGTGCTGTTAAACTTAAATAGAAATGGATCTCTGAAGGTGAACATTCACTTAGAAAATTTCAAATTAACATTGTGTTGTACTGTGTTTTTATTTTTTACATAGCATTTCTCCAGTTATATGTCAAGAAAAATTTTGCATTCATTTTTACAAGATTTTGAGTTCAAATTTTTCTCCTAACCTCCCCTGCCCTCTTCTGAAAATGGTAGGCAGTTTGATGTAGTTTATACAATATGTAAAAATATTTCCATATTAGTCAGAGTTGTGAAAGAAAAAAGATCAAAAGAAAAAAAGCTATAAAAAGAATAAAGCAATAAAAAACATGCTTCAATCTGCATTCAGAGTCCATCAGTTCTTTATCTGCATATGGATAGTATTTTCCTTCGTGAGTCCTTTGTACTTGTTTTGTATCGTGTTGCTGAGAAGAGCCGAGTTATTTATAGTTGGTCATCCCACAATGTTGCTGATACTGTGTACAGTGTTCTCCTGGTTCTGCTCATTTTACTTTTCATCAGCTCGTACAAGTCTTTCTAGGTTTTCTTAAAGGTGCCTGTTCATCATTTCTTACTGTACAACAGTATTCCATTATATGCATATACCACAGCTTGTTCAGCTACTCACCAACTGATGATGAACATCCCCTCAATTTCCAGTATTTTGCCACTACAAAAAGGGCTGCTATAAATATTTTTGCACATGTAGGTCCTTTCCCCTTTTTTATGACCTCTTTGGGATACAGGTGTAGTAGTGGTATTGCTGGATTAAAGGGTATGTACAGTTTGGTTACCCTTTGGCCATGGTTCCAAATTGTACTCCAGAATGGTTGGATCAGTTCACAACTCCACCAACAACAGTCCATTAGTGTCTCAATTTTCTTACATATTCTTTAACATTTATTATTTTCCTTTTCTGTCATATTAGCCAATCTGACAGCTGTGAGGCAGTACCTCAGGGTTGTTTTAATTTGCATTCTCTAATCAAAAGTGATTTAGAGCACTTATTCATTTGATTTCTTCATCTGAAAACTGCCTGTCCATATCCTCTGATTGTTTATCAATTGGGGAATGGCTTGCATTCTTGTAAATTTGACTCAGTTCTTTATATATTTGAGAAATGAGGTCTTTATTAGAGACACTTGCTGTAAAGATTGTTTCCCAGCTTTCTGCTTTCCTTCTAATCTTGGTTTCATTGGTTTTGTTTGTACAAAATCTTTTTAATTTAATATAATCAAAATTATCTATTTTACATTCTTGTAATGCTCTCTATCTCTAGTTTGGTCATGACTTCTTCCCCTCCCCATAGATCTGACAGGTAGATAATTTCTAACTCTTCTAATTTGCTTATGGTATCACCCTTTATCTCTAAATTGTGCCAAAGGTCTGCCATATCTAACTCTTCTAATATTCTATTTACCTCCTTAGTTTCTTTCTTGTTTATTTTTTGGTCGTTGGTCGGATTTATTAAGTTCTGAGAGGGCACAGTTAAGGTCCCCCATGAGTATACAGTCTTGCTATTTCTTCCTGTAACTCACTTATCTTCTCCTCTAAGAATCTGGATGCTATACCACTTGGTGCATATATGTTCAGTATTGATATTGCTTCTTTGTCTATGGTACCTTTTACCAAGATGTAGTTTCCTCCCTTATCTCTTTCAATTAGGTCAATTTTTGCTTTACTTTGTCTGAGATCAGGATTGCTATTTGCTTCTGTTTCATGGGAGAATTTTGTATTGTATTTTTAGTGGCAGCTAGGTGGCACAGTGGATAGAATGCTGGGCCTGGAGTCAGGAAGACTCATCTTCCTGAGTTCAAATCTGGTCGCAGACACTTACTAACTGTGTGATCCTGGGAAAGTCACTTAACCCTGGTTGTCTTGGCTCCTCATTTGTAAAATGAGCTGGAGAAGGAAATGGCAAACCATTTCGGTATCTTTGCCAAGAAAACCCCAAATGGGGTTAGGAAGACTTGGACACAACTGAAAAACAACACTGTATTTTTATTTATTTATTTTGTTATGTTTCCTGATTCCATTTTTACTCTGGTTCAGCCTATTCAGAAGTTTTGGAAGGTACAAGTTAGACACCTCTTGTCTAGACAGTCATCAAAACAAAAAAATCAAAGCCTGATTTGTAGTTTGCTGATTTTCAAGGTGTAAATGCTTACACTGAAAATTTAACAATTGGCACTCGGGTGAAATTGGCTCCAGCATATCCCTGCTTATTATTATTACTAATATAATAATACAGTAAGTCACTTAATTTCTCCAAGCCTCAGTTCAGTTGGCTCACCGGTAAAAGGGGAGGTTTAGACAAGACTGCTTCAAAGGTTCCCTTCCAGCTCTAAATCTGATTCTATAACCTTTTGGAAAAGAGAACTCACCAAGATGGGGAAATCAGTTGCAAAACCAACTAACCATGCTATCATTAAGAGTACTCATCTCCATCTTCAAACCAATTCAACAAACATTACTTAAGCACTGTCATGCATTGGGAGATAAAAACACAGAAATAAAAGTTCTTAACCTCAAGGGGCTTACATTCTACTGGTGAGGAATAGCATAAACAAAGATAAGTACAAATTATATACAAGATAATAAACAAAAATTGGGGGGGGGGGAACAATAAATAAGGAAATTCTGTCCAAAACGATAGCCTAAAAAAGTCTGTCAAATGCTATGCTAAAAATCTGTGTATGTTACATCTATGACATCACCTAGATCTACCACAGTCTATTAATCCTATCAGAAAAGGAAATGAGGTTAGTTTGGCACAATTTATTCTTGATGAATTTATGTGATTCTTACTGATGGACACTTTCTTTTGGAAACAATCACAAACCATCTAGTTAACACCTTCCCAGAAAGCAAAGTTAAGTTTCAGGAGTCTATACTTTGCAAAGCCCACACTTTTTTGGGTAGCAAGGGGATAAATAAGGACATTTACTCTTTTCTATTCCTATACTACCTTTTAAATTTATCACGATCTTATAATCAATAGTTGATAAGAGTTCAGCAATTATAACTGGCAGTTCTTTTGGTACCTAGAGATGTAGTCCATCTAGAACGGGTGAACTGAAATCACTGGGGGAAGCTAAGTGTAGTTTCACAAAACTCATTTATTTGGGGTTCAAGCTTCCTGTTAAGTATTTTGTTTCCTTCTAAATAGAAGGATCATTCTTCTGGAAAGAAAAGGAAGCAAAAGTTGAGTTGAGTAGTTTTGCTTTCTATCACTTGTTATCTCATAAACTCTGTCAGGTTCTACCTCTTTTAAAAAAATCTTACTCTTGCCCACCACATGGCTGAAAATCCCTTCCATTTTCTCCCTCACAGCTCATTCTCAGAGAGGCAACATGGCATAACAGACATAAGTTATGAATCTGGAGCCACAAACTCCATGAGCCAAATTAATTAATCTCCATTGACTTTTCATCTGTAAAGTCACAAAACTGGTAATAACTCTGTCACAGGATTGTTATGAGGTGTAGTTATAATAATGACGATGATAACTAGAATTTATGTAGCATCTACTATGTGCCAGGTACTGTATGCTGAGCACTTTACAAATATTACCTCATTTGATCCTTAGAAGACTGGAAGGTAGATGATATTATCCTCATTTACAAATGAGGAAACTGAGGCAAACAGAGGTTAAGTGACTTGCCCAAGGTCACACAGCTAGTAAGTGTCCAAGAGACTGGATTTGAACTCAAGTTTTCCTGACTCCAGCTCTAGCACTCTATCCATTGTGCCACTTAGCTACCCTGGTTTTTATGTTTTAAAGCCAGTTATTAGTATAACCTTAGCATTCCTGATATTACCATCACAGGACTATGCTACTCTTTTCAATTCCTTCTGTTACCTAAGCTTTCTTACATCTTTTATATATGGCTTTAATAAAAAAAAATCTAAACTGGTCAGTGAGTTCCTTGTGTGTCCATGGTGATCTCTCTGTAGACAGTTTCTCCTCATTTAAATTGTTTGAGTTTGTATTTTCAGAACTTAATTCTTCCCAAATTTCAAGCCTTCTTGGATTAATTTCTCCCACAGAATTTTGGACCATGGACCTATCTTCTAAATCCTTTTAAAATCTTCCCTCTCAAAATCTAGA